CTCTCTCTCTCTCTCTCTCTCTCTCTCTCTCTCTCTCTCTCTCTCTCTCTCTCTCTCTCTCTCTCTCTCTCTCTCTCTCTCTCCGGGGAAAATTGAAAATGAAAAAATCGAAGATGTACGTGGTTTCGGGATCGTCGGCAAGGGGCCGTAATTCTGGTCGGGATTATGTTTTTGTGGCTTATGGGCGAATATAACGCAATCTTGGACTGACAAAAACCCAGTCGAAAATTTTATGGATGTCCGCGTTATAAGGTATGATATCATAATTGAACTTTCGATGTGAAATATAGATTTAAAAATATATTTGGACCTTGAGCTTGGAGATGGATGCGATTACTTTTCTTTGTTTGACGAAGAGGAAGGTACGAAATGGCAAAGAAGAGCTTTGATTGAAGCTCGTGATGAGATCAATCGGATGATTGAGCAATTAACTAAAACCATCTCAGAAATGAAAAGAAATCTCGAGAACAAAGAGACAGTGGACGACAAAAATGAAGATGAGATCGTTAGAAAGCTTGTGGAATTCTATGTTTAATGTTTTGGATTTTTGATTTTTTTCCTCATTTCTGGTATGTCTTTGAAAGTCCTCGTCTTTTCCAAATTGTTTTCCAGTTTGTCTTCCATTTCTTTGCTTCGACGGATAGGCTTATAAGTCTTTAATTTGTGGTTTGTCTAAGGCTTGTAAAACTCCAATCTTTCGTTTATTTTGTGCTTGGCGATAACATGTATTGAAATTTCAACCTGATCTGATGAAATTGATACATCCCGAACATAGAGTTCTGCTAAATAATCAGACATGAAAAATGTAATTGTAATTGTAACATCAAGAAAATTATAGTTTCAAACTTCTACAAACCCGAGAAGCATAGAGTTCTGCAAAATAATCAGACATGAAACATCAAAAAAACAGGAAAGAACTCCGCCTTCCTTTCTTCCCTTTCTCTTCGATGTCTTCTGCCCTTCCTTCACAAACAGATGGGAACACCATCGACAGTGAACCACACTTATTTAATTGCTCCGATAGGCTCAAAATGCTGCAAATTACATTTACTTGTACGTCAGTTATACCAGTAATACCAAATAGTTTTCCCAAAGTTACTATAGTATTCTCTAGTATACTTCCTATTACTAATTTTACCTAATTCTCAATGTTTCACCGAGTGGTACTAGTATTAGATATAGTTATACCATAATTTCCAGGTTCTACACAACATCACCATAGTTCCTATTTCTAGTTCACCAAAACATGACCAATTCAAACAAAACTAGGATTCAAAATCCAATTCTAATTTGGAAATTCTCCTATTTGTTACCTCGTCGTCGTTCTCTTTCTTCTCGTCCCCATATTTAACTCCTTCCACTACACTTTCCGAATCCTTATCTTCAAGGACATCATCCTCTCTGTCATTCTCCTCTCCAGCAGTAACTGCCACCGCAGCTTCGACGAAGACACTTATCGGCTCTGAGATTATCTCATCTGTCTCAGTCGCCGTTGCTGGTCTCCCTTGCGACCCCTTATCCGGCGTCTCCGCCATCTATTTTCACTCTATCGATTTTCACACACAAATCGACTTCCGCGACCAAGAATGGAAGAGAGGGAAGGAAGGAATAAGACTCTTAAAGCTCAGCTCAGAAAGAATTTCGAAGGAATAAGAAATTTAGGGAGTCAATCCAATCCAAAATTAGGGTTTTATTAACCCAAAGTGGGGAATCAGTCTGAGTTTCCTTCGGTTTTTGTTTTAGGTTTTGTTTGGGTCGTGGTTTGAATTAGATTGGATTGAATTTTGGTACAACTAGGTATAACTCGTAAATAACTCAACTTTCCTACAATTTAACCGTCTTTTCCATCCAATCCTAATTAAATAAAGATAGAAAATATCCATATTTTATAACGGGTCCTTGGAAGATTGATTCATGAGATGTGGGGGTAGCCAAGCTCTTACCTCCCATTCTAAGGACATTTCAAATTGTTTAGACTACAATTATTTTATACGGAAAACCAAATGAAAATTTAAAATTTCTTAACTAAATAAGTATTACCAGTTGTACCAGTATATATTATACGGTATATATAAAACAATTATATTAGTGTATTAGTATTACAATAGGATAGCGTAATTGAAAAACTTAGTTGCATCACATAAGAAGTAAATATACATTAGTTGTACCGTTTCTATATGTTTACCTACCTGGTATCACATACTATGAAATCTTTATTTTTTTTGAAAAAAATATCTTTGGTGTGTCTTTTCGAAAATATGTGAACAAATTAATAAACAAACTGTTTTCGAAAAGACACACTAAAGACAATGACCATAAATGATTATGAGCCTTTACTAACAAAAATCAGAGCTAGGTTCCAAAGTTGGACAAGTAAATCTCTCTCCTTTGCAAGTCGATTTATGCTCATTAAATCACTCATTGCAAGCTTAATAAACTTCTGGTGCTCTGCTTTCTGTCTTCCCAAAGCTTGCATGGATGATATTGAGAGTATGTGCTCAGCTTTCCTTTGGAGCGGCTTTCCAAGTGACTCCCTAAAGCAAAGGTGGCATGGAAAGAGGTGTGTACTCCTTTGGAAGAGGGCAGTCTGGGGGTTAGATCTATAACTGAGATGAATACGGTTTCCTCTCTAAAACTAATATGGCGTCTACTCAGTGAACGAAGTCCTTATGGGTTTGATTGGGTGAGGAGGTACCTAATGCGACAAGAATCTTTCTGGATATAAGAGATATTGGGCTTGGATCATGAATATGGAGGAAATTGCTGAGGCTACACTACTTAGTGAAACACTTTTTTGTATGGAAGTGCACAATGGCCAGCAGGTGCGTTTCTGGACTGATCTATGGCATCCTTCAGATAGATTGATAGAACTCGCAGGTGAAATTGGTACACAAAAACTTGGTATAGCAAGGTCTTCCTTGATATGTGATGTATGGGATGGTGATCACTGGTCTTTTCGTCGCTGCTGTGATAGTAGAATGCGATAAATTATCCACATGATCGAAAATCATCGTATGGTAGAAGATCGAACAACAAATGATGTTGTTTTTTGGAGGCATAATGAAATGGAATTCTATGACTGTTTCTCAACTTCAACGACTTGGCATCAACTTCGTACGCATAGGCCAGTAACAACTTGGAGCAAAGTGATATGGTTTTCTCTTGGAGTGCCCCGGTTTGCCTTCATAACCTGGCTGGCAATAAGGAACAGATTATCCACTGGAAACCGAATGAGAAGTTGGGGGCTAGTGCAAGGTTACCTATTCTGTGGTGAACCAGATGAGTCTAAAGACCACCTGTTCTTTGCTTGTCCTTACACCTTCACGCTCTGGATTGAAGTGGTAGGTACCTTACTGAGTAGAGACCCTGATCATGATTGGGTAAACACACTTGATCAAATACAAACAGGTAGGTGTGATCACCTCCGATTCATCCTGCTTCGTTTGGTTTTTCAAGTCACAGTTTACATGATATGGAGGGAGAGAAATGAAAGGAAACACTATAAGAAGCTGATGCGGGCATTAAATCCACTGCTCCTAAGGTAGACGATACTTTCCATGTTTGTACTCGGATGAACCTAGACGACATCAAACCCATGGTTCGTTTAACTCAGCTGGTTGTTCCCAAACAAAGGCCACCACTTAAGCCTCCTTATCAGCTAATAATTATGTGGATCAAAGGTATTAAAGTCGTGGTTAACATCTCCTTAATAAGCAAATCTCAATCCCCTGAGATCAGTCCTTTTGACCAGACATTTGATTTTCTCTTAATTATGATTTGTCCTAGAAATACGCCTTTCATTTATGTCTTTGATTTTGTCCAAGAGCTATATATAAAGATTCTCTTATTTCATTGTAAAATCAGACTTGAGTATTGAATAAAAAGTGAGATATTTCTCTTGAGAGCTTTTATGCTTGTTCTTGTTATTTCTAAGTTATGTGAGATTCTTTCTTAGGATACAAGTGTGGAACCTTTATCTTTGTGTGAGATTCACTTAGGTTCTGGTTCATGATCTTATCTCAAAGCCTTTCACATCTTTGAGTGGCGATCTTCAATCCATTTAAGCCGTAGGTTTTGATTTCTTGTGAGAAAAGCTAAAGTGAGATTCTGAGGCTGTATCATTTGGTATCAGAGCTAAAAGCTCCTATCATCTATCTTTATATTTCTTTTGTTTTTTTTTTCATTCTATTCTCAAAAAAAAAACCAGAAAAATTGTTTTCTTCTTTCTTTCTTTTCTGTTTTGTTTTTCTAAGTTTCTTTCCTACAAACAAATATAAAGAGAAGATATGGAAAACCAGTCCAGCAACAGCAACATGGCGGTCCATCCTTGGAGTCTTTTGAAGCAAGAAGATTATTATTTTGCAGGAATATCAGGCCCAGATGAGTATTTTGAATGGGAGCACAAGATGAACGAGTTCTTCATTTCTTGCCGCTGTCCAGATTTCGAGAAGGTATACATTGCTGCTGACCAACTCATTGACCAAGCTCAACACTGGTGGAGCCAATCTACTGCAAAGAAAAATCATTGCCGGTACTCTCGAGAAACAACTTGGGATGAGATGAAAACTCTGATGAGGAAGCAATACATCCCACGCGATCAGTATCAAGAAATCCGAAGGCAATTCGCACACTTTGCCAAGATGATATGACGGTCATGGAGTATCACAAGCAATTCAACCATCTTCGCATTCGGCTCAATCCAGGAGTAAGGAATGAGGATGTCATGGACCAGTTTGTTTATGGGCTAAGCAATGAGATCCGTTTCCACATACAAAGGTACTCATACAATTGTTTGGAGGAGTTGGCCCAACAGGCGGCCCAAATTGAGCAGGAAAACAAAGAGCCTGAACCACTTGATCCATCAGAGGAGGTCCAGCAAAATCCGAGGTACATCCTGATATCACATGAGAAAGTTTTGAGGACAAAACTTTTACAAGGGGGAGGGAATGATACGGGCATCAAATCCACTGCTCCTAAAGTAGACGATACTTCCCATGTTTGTACTCGGATGAACCTAGACGACATCAAACCCATGGTTCGTTTGACTCAGCTGGCTGTTCCCAAACAAAGGCCACCACTTAAGCCTCCTTATCGGCTAATAATTATGTGGATCAAAGGTATTAAAGTCGTGGTTAACATCTCCTTAATAAGCAAATCTCAATCCCCTGAGATCAGTCCTTTTGACCAGCCATTTGATTTTCTCTTAATTATGATTTGTCCTAGAAATCCGCCTTTCATTTATGTCTTTGATTTTGTCCAAGAGCTATATATAAAGCTCCTCTTATTTCATTGTAAAATCAGACTTGAGTATTGAATAAAAAGTGAGATATTTCTCTTGAGAGCTTTTATGCTTGTTCTTGTTATTTCTAAGTTATGTGAGATTCTTTCTTAGGATACAAGTGTGGAACCTTTTATCTTTGTGTGAGATTCACTTAGGTTCTGGTTCATGATCTTATCTCAAAGCCTTTCACATCTTTGAGTGACGATCTTTAATCCATTTAAGCCGTAGGTTTTGATTTCTTGTGAGAAAAAACT